GTGTGTGTGTGTGTGTGTGTGTGTGTGTGTGTGTGTGTGTGTGTGTGTGTGTGTGTGTGTGTGTGTGTGTGTGTGTGTGTGTGTGTAGAAGGGGTAAGGCAAGGCTGTAGGTGCCCCTGCCAAGACCAAAACTACAGCCCACCTCCCTCCCCCCAGGACTCATCCCCCTTCAATACCCTCCTGCAGGCAGAACCAACTCCCCACGGACGCACCTTGCAGCAGGCCCTGAAGGCCGAGACACACCGGCTACTGTGGATGGGGGTACAGCCAAGAGCCCCCTCACAGAAGATGCTGTGGGCAGCCCGCTTTTACGCCCAAAATCCAGCTCAGGTCCCGCTGCCTCTGGCAGCCCAGCATGAGGTGCTCTCCCCCCTAGGAAGGGCCCAGGCTGTTGTGGGCTCACACCAACCCCATCACTATCACTGCTCGACCCTGTGGGCGGCCGGGGAACACTGCAGCTACTGCCCTCCACCAGTCTCTCTTTCCTATTTTAAGGAGAACAGCCCAATGGGGAGGTGCCCAGAGGCAGCAAGTGGCATAGGCTAGGGGCCACTCCCGGAAAGGCTCTGAATGGGAAGGGTGGTTGTCTAACTCAAGGGGTAACGCCGCAATACAGACACTCACCAGGAAGAGGCTCAAACAAGGCCACTCATCACATGCAAAGGGCTTTAAGAACCACAGACTCTGGCCATGCCCCAGCCTCCCCAAAAGCGCAGGGGCCTTCCCCTGTTTGGGCCATCCCCAATTCTTATCCAACACTATAGAGGAGGACGTTATGACTATGCCAGGTGCTTTAAGCAGGACCTCCCACGCCTCACAGCCTTCCCCGGCCGAGGTCACTCCTCCTGGCATCTCACTAACGAGGTAGACCCGGGGCTAGCTCGGCTGCTGTCAGGTCCGGGACTGCAAAGGAGAGACCAGGAACGGTCATTAAGCAGCTGCGGCTTTGACCATCACCAGGGTGATCCTAACTCATTGAACGGGAAAGACCAAGGACCAGCTCAGCTGAGAGGCCAACTCTCCCGCCTCACTCCATGCGGCCACCAGCATGCCGGCCAGGACCAGCGCTTCCTCTCATGTTTTATGTTTATGTGCGGAATGAATTTTGCTATGTGCACCAGTATGGAGGTTGTGTGACACATCACCTTCGTATCAGTGCACTTAACAAAATTCATGTGGTGGGGGTGGGGCCGAAGGGTTTGGAGTGTGAGAGGGGCTCAGGGCTGGGGCAGAGGGTTGAGATGAAGGCTCTGGGGATGAGGGATTCGGGCTGTAGGAGGGAGCTCAGGGCTGGGGCAGAGGGTTGGGGTGAAGGCTCTGGGGTGGGGCTGAGGGGTTCGGGCTGTAGGAGGGAGCTCAGGGCTGGGGCAGAGGGTTGGGGTGAAGGCTCTGGGGTGGGGCTGAGGTGTTCGGGCTGTAGGAGGGAGCTCAGGGCTGGGGCAGAGGGTTGGGGTGGAGCCAGGGATGAGGGGTTTGGATGCAGGCTGTCCTGGGGCTGTGGCGAGGAAAGAGGACTCCCGCACAGCTTAGAGGGGACATAGGCCAGGACACTGCAGCATCTCAACAGTGCTCTGGCAATAGGGCAGAGGGGCTGCTACAGTGGAAACAGCTGGTGCTCAGCTATCTTCCAGGGGTTGTAGATGACATCAGGTAATCCCCACAACCCCCCCTCCCTCCGGAAAGGCAGCGTTATCCACAATGGCTTAGAAAGGGAAACTGAGGCACACTAAGAGGCCTGCCCACAGCCAGCTGGTATGAAAATTCCGAGGTTCCTGGCTCCTCACCCCAAACGTATACCAGTGTGGGGGAAGTGCTGCCTCCACCACCTCAGGAAGCGAGAGACGGGTGATCAAAGGCAGATCTCCTGGACTGCAGTGCAGAGAGCTAGCACTAGCTCTAAGGTGGCTGGCCTGTCGAATAACGTCCCCAAGGGAAGGGGGAAGCCTAAATACTTCCTCTGGCGGGAACCATTTCCCACTAGATCCCAGCAAACCTGGGGCCCAACTGATCTTTGCCAGCTCCAACCTGCCCCAGCTCTTTTTAGAGCAGGGGTTTTCACAGCAAATGCTCGGCTGGCCTCAGAGTGCAGCCACTCTCGCTCCTGCTGGTGGCCACGCTGACAATTTTTCCTAAAATATTTAATTAACTTTAGGAAAAACAAATATGCACATACACACGTCCCAGTCATTGTCAGTTATTTATGTAGGGTTTGGTTTCTTTTCCTTCTTCAGACTCTAATAAAAATAATGCACTGTTGTCTCTATCCTTTACTGGAGCACAACAGAACACTAACAAGGCGTTTGGCACGTTTTTGTCTTTTTTGGTAAAAGGTGGATGTCTGTACAACAATTGGGAACCACATTTAAAAATGCTTTTACATAATTAAAGTCCAAATAATGAAAAAAAATCTGCAAATATGTCCAAACTTTCTCGTTCACGGACAAAAAAAAAATCAATCCAATTTAGCAATAAAAGTAGTAACAAACAATCCTGTTATATTGTCCTTTACCAATACAGGGTGATAAGCCCCAGAACTTTAATTTCTGGAACACAGCCGTTGTGTGGCTCAGACTACCTGCAGAAGTTCAGGAGCTCTTGGAATGGAAAGTCGGCAGGATCTCGGGTCTCCTGTGAAACTAGAAGGGAAGATTCCAGGTTAGCATCAGTGAGGCCATTTTGGGACTTGCCCTTCAGACAATGCAGTGCACTAAATGCCCTCTCACACAGCACCGTAGTTGAAAACAGGGACAAGAAAAGAAAAGCAACTTTAGCTAGAGGCCTGTAGGTGTCCTCAGACAGGTACACTTTGAGCCAGAACTGCTGCACCGTAACACCGGGCTGACTGAAGTAGGTTTTCATCCTTGCATTATTACGCATGTGCACCAAGAGATACTGGAGATTCCTTACATCCAAAGAGGCAAAGGAAGCTAATCTGTCTCGCAAGGCTGTTAGTCTGTCTGCAGCCAAAAACCCTGAACCAGAATTGCTGAACGGGTCCGTCACAAAAGTGTACTGACGGAAAAAGTTTCCCTCGCTGAAACAATTTTCCAGATCTTCCGAGAGGATACGCAGGTATTTGGTTACAGCTAAGCCAACCTTTCGCTGTACGCTCTCGTCCTGACAGCCGAGAAACCCACTAAGCTCAGAAAAAACAGAAAAGTCCCGGTTCTCTTGTAGTTGCTGGACAATGTCAGCGATGGTCATTCGGAACGTATGAATTACTTCAACACGGTCAAATATGGTGAGCTGAGGTATCTGGAGCTCCAGGGTCAAGGAAGCAAGCTTTGGCAAAAACTCTTTCAAAAAGAGCAAAGCACCATGTACTTCTGGATCTTGTAGCTTTTGGGACAGTTCCGGCGAAACGGTGTTCAAAACCTCAATGAGCTCTCCCCGGAGCTCAAACAGCCACTGTACATGGTCATTAAAACTAAGCCAATGGACCAGGTTGTAACGCAGCAGCACCTTGTGCGTCTCAGAGCCCGTGTCACACAGAGTTGCGAATCTCTCTTTATTGACACCGCTGGTGTTCACAGCACTGATGCACTTTTTCACTACGGATTCAACCTCATCCATACTTTCCATTGAAGCCTTGCTGGCAAGTACTTCTTGGTGGACAAACCAGTGAAACAGAAACAGTTTCTGAGGGCAGCTTTTTCGGAAGCAGTCCAACACCTCTGCTTGGGCACCTTGCCTAGCCGCTGCCCCATCAGCTGTCAAGCCGCACAGATTGTCAAAGCTAACCCGGCACTCTTGCATTCTCGCCTGCACACTCTGAAAAATGTGTTTGCCAGTTGGCCTATCAGTGAGGCTCACCTGACATAAAACGCCTTCGGTAAAACAACAGTGAGCACAGTCAAAAAAGCGAACGCATACGATTATCTTGGGATTCTTCATGACATCAAGGCTCTCAACCAAGCACAGGCTGTAGAAAGGGCTTGCTGCGACCTTCTCGGCTATTTCGTTTTGTAGAAAGTTCGCTAGATCTCTTGTGCTCCTCTGTAACATGTCATTGCTCAGTGGTAGCTCTCTGAAAAGCGTATTTTCTGGTTGAACGGCCAGAACAATTTTCTTCACGAGTTCTCCTTCGTCGAAAGATTTCCTTGCTTGCCCCAAAAGCAGGGCCACTTTAAAAGTAGCCACCAAGAGCTGATCCGCTTTCTTCAGAAAATCTCTTGGCGGTTGCTGTTGTCTTTCGAGCTCGGTTTTTGCATCATTTAACAGCTTGCGCCTCTGAAACTCACCACGGTAATTCTGTTCAACTTCCCCCGCATGAGTGTTATAGTGACGCTGCATCGCGTACATTTTAATCTGACGAATTTCCTTCTTACAAATAGCGCACACTGCAACTTGCTCAGAAATGGAATTGGATGGCTTCAGAAACACAAGAAACCGCGTTTCCCACTGCTCCTGAAATTTTCGATTTTCTTCCTTCCACGTTCTGCTTTTCTTAGCAGCAGGTAGCTTCTCCGGGACCATCTCTGCATCACATTCAGGGGCATTTTCTGGCACTGGTTGTTTGAAAACCTTTCTGATGTCCATTTCCATTTTTAACTCTTTCGCCATCTGCCACAAACAATCTCAGCCTAACCAAACACCATGCAGCGATCTTGCCGAGGACGCTGGCCAATAGCCGCTTACGGAGCTACAGTAGTGCGAGATGTAAACAGAGTGATTAGCCAATGAATGTGACTTGAAAGAAAACCACCCCTATGTAGTTCAGTTCTCCCTGCATTGTACTGTACTATTTAGAAGGGCATGAGCGTACATTATGATTCATTTCAGAGTAGCAGCCATGTTAGTCTGTATCCGCAAAAAACAGGAGGACTTGTGGCACCTTAGAGACTAACAAATTTATTAGAGCATAAGCTTTCATGGACTACAGCCCACTTCTTCGGATGCATACCATTATGATTCATGGCATTCACAAGACAACTTTAATACCCAACATCTCAGTGATTGCTGGGGCTCTTTGGAGGCTGTCACGGCTGCAAAAAAAATCCACCGGTGGCCACATTTGAGAAGGATCCTTACACAAGGAGCCATCGTCTCACGGTTATTACTCCATCAGACAGACTCAATCCACAGCTTTACGAGTACTCTAAAGAACATCACCCCTCCCTTTGCTTTGGGATCTCCACGCTCCTGTGTGCCGGCCTAGGAGTGTCTGAAATTTCTATAACCTCACTCCGAAGTGGGAGCAGAGCAAGGCCTCAAACCATCTCAGGTCTGCTCTTGCAAGCGCTACAGGAACGAGCAGGGTCACAAGGCAGACCCAGCCATGCTGGAAGGCTTGCGGGAAAGAACTTGGCCTGTCAAGCACACAATAGATCCTCTTATTCAAGGAAAACAGCATCATTTAATAGAAACAGATGCTGTGGCAGGTAGCATCAGCCAGCCAGACACTCACAAGCGGATATATTTATTCATATGGACATTGCCACAGATCACTGCATGCATAACTAAGGCTGCAGTCTTGTGATCCCTACTTCTAATGATCAACAGCGTTTATACTGCACCATCTGAATGCCGAAGACTCAAACAAGGGTGTGAATTTTATACAGGGATTACCTGCAGCACTGATACGCAGCAGCTAATTTCCATCAGCAATACAAAGTTTGGGGGAAGAATAACTTCACCGACATTACAGGCATAGTTACATTATGCCTTCCCAGAATTCCCCATGATGGAACCTGGCCAGCACGTGGGTTAACACGTACTCCTGAGATGAGTGCCATAAATGGGACCAGTTACTGTATTATAAGTGGTCAAAGTCTCAGAACCCCATTTTACATGTAGCAAAGCATCATTCTGGGGCACTGTTTAAAACCAACTCAGGAATTCTGACTGAGCCAACACCATCCTGGGGTTTCTTTTGGACATCTATGCCCAAATAAATCTGTTAGTCTTTAAGGTGCCACCAGACTCCTTGTTGTTTTTGTAGATACAGACTAACACGGCTACCCCCTGATACTTGAGTCCAACGCAGGTATGCTTAACTCGTAAGATGGAGAGATCAGACTTCGGCAGCCTGGCCAAAGACAACGTGCTGAACAGAAATACCAGCACTGAACACAATGGCTGGATTTTAGGCCCACTCCTTGCACGGCCTTGCCCTGTTCTCTGGCAGGTATCAACATGCAAGGCTCTGTTTTGTTCAGGGAAGTATAGCTCCCACAGATGGCTTCATCTCTACTCATCAAGTTCCAAGGGTTTCTGTTTTTTTAAAAAGCAACAGAGGGTCTTGTGGCACCTTTAAGACTAACAGAAGTATTATGCTTATGTAAGCTTATGCTCCCAATACTTCTGTTAGTCTTAAAGGTGCCACAAGACCCTCTGTTGCTTTTTACAGATTCAGACTAACACGGCTACCCCTCTGATGTTTTTTTAAAGTGGGTGTTGGGACACTCTGGTTTCTCCAAGGCTGGTCTGGGAGCAGGGTTGGGGTGTGGAGAAGAACAGACATTTCAGCCCAGAACTAGTCTGGTTTTTAGCTTACCCACTAATTCCACTTTCCATAGCATGAGCGCTTCCATGTGACCAGCGCAGAGACTGGGAAGCCACAAGCTGCAGGCAGGAAGACAAGATATGGCAACACCAGAAATGGAAATGTATTAAATGTAAACGTGGAACAAAAAAATAACCAGCGCAAGGTCCATCCTGTGAATCCTAACAGAATAATCCAGAACGAAAGGGGCACGTGAGACCAAAGGAGGGCTTAGCACATTGTTTATGCCTCACGGCTTTCCACATTACTTATGCTCACAGATCCTTAATGGGTGGGGAAGAAAGCGGGAAGCCAGGTTAAGGGCTTGTCATGCACGTTTCAGGCAGAAGTAGTCAATAGGTGGACAACAGGCCAAATCTGGACCGCCAGACACTCTTGAACGGACCCCAAAATCTTTATTTACTGGTGGTGGTGGGTAGTTGTTGGTGGGATTGTTTGGTTGTTTATTTCTTTCCTCTGGAGTCTAGACCTTGACCAAGAAATTTTGATCTTGACAAAAAATAATTAGCTACCCCTGTTTTAGGCTCTGTCTTGACGTGATTCGGCCTGTCTGAAATTTCTATAACCTCACTCTGAAAAGGAGCAGAGCGAGGCCTCAAACCATCTCAGGGCTGCTCTTGCAAGCGCTACAGGAATGACCAGGGTCACCACAGACCCAGCCATGCTGGAAGGCTTGCTCACGTGGGGCAGGCAAAGGAACCGGGGAAGACTGATATGGGAGGTTTAATTTCTTTGATGCAGTTCAAACCCACAGAAATCGTTACCTTTCTAGCTCAGCAGCATTGTGCACGCCTCAGGCCCAGCCCCTCCAACCATAGACCGGAGATCGTTTCTACAAGCAGGAAAATGAGACGAGAAAAAAAAAAATCAGATTATTTAGCAGAAGATGATGGAGAATCTACTTAACCGGGCAGGTCGGTCATAGGATGTTTCTGAGATATTTATGCCCTTGTCGTCTCAAAGTGTTTTACAAGCCACACATGCATCACTCACTCCTAAGGCAGGCAGCCACCCTAGAGAGCGACACTATGGAGCAGGCAACGGTGGAATCAGAGCAGCCCCGGCCTGTTACCAAGAGAGGGTTAGTTCTGTGGCACTGTCTGAAAGAGGCACATTAACCTGCACAGAGATCAGCTGATCTGCCTGGGGAGTAGGGAGCGGAACCCCCTCTGCCGGGATTTGCACCGTGAGAGCTGAAGTCTGATGCTTAGAACATGATCCCACCCCTCGAGGACATGCCAAGCGGTCAAAGCCTCAATCCCCATTTTACATGCAGCAAAGCATCATTCTGGGGCACTGTTCAAAACCAACTCAGGAGTTCTGACTGGGCCGACACCATCCTGGGGTTTCTTTTGGACATCTCCTACACAGCCACAGTCCAACCCAGGTACACTTAACTCGTAAGATGGAGAGATCAGACTTCGGCAGCCTGGCCAAAGACAACGTGCTGAACAGAAATACCAGCACCTAACACAATGGCTGGATTTTAGGCCCACTCCTTGCACGGCCTTGCCCTGTTCTCTGGCAGGTATCAACATGCAAGGTTCTGTTTTGTTCAGGGGAGTCTAGCTCCCCCGGATGGCTCCATCTCTGCTCATCAAGCTCCAAGGGTTTGTTTAGGTTCTTTTAAAGCGGGTGTTGGGTTTGGGACACTCTGGTTTCTCCAAGGCAGGTCTGGGAGTGGGGGTGAGGCGAGAAGATCAGACATTTCAGACCAGAACTAGTCTGGTTTTTAGCTTACCTACCAATTCCACTTTCCATAGCATGAGCGCTTCCATGTGACCAGCACTGAAACAGGGAAGCCACAAGCTGCAGGCAGGAAGACAAGATATGGTAACACCGGAAATGCAACTTTAGACATTTCTTATATGCTACTGTGGAGCAAAACATTCCAAGTGCAAGATCTGTCCTACAAATCCTAACACAATCATCCAGAATGAAAGGGGGTGCAGGAGACTAAAGGAGGGCGTAGAACAGGTTTTGCTATGGAACATTGGGAATCATTAAGAAAAGGACAGATAATAAGACAGAAAATATCATATTGCCTCTATATAACTCCACGGTATGCCCACATCTTGAATACTGTGTGCAAATGTGGTCACCGCATCTCAAAAAAGATATATTGGACTCGGAAAAGGTTCAGAAAAGGGCAACAAAAATGATTAGGGGTATGGAATGGCTGCCATATGAGGAGAGATTTAACACAAGAACTAGGGGCCACCGAATGAAATTAATATGCAGCAGGTTTAAAACAAACAAAAGGAAGTATTTCTTTCCACAACGCACAGTCAACCCGTGGAAGTCTTTGCCAGAGGATGTAGTGAAGGCTAAGACTATAACAGGGTTCAGAAAAGTATCAGAGGAGTAGCTGTGTTAGTCTGTATCCACAAAAACAACAAGGAGTCTGGTGGCACCTTAAAGGCTAACAGATTTATTTGGGCATAAACTTTTGTGGGTAAAAACCCCCCACTTGATGCACGGAGTGAAAATTACAGATACGGGCGTTAATACACTGGCACATGAAGAGAAGGGAGTTACCGTACAAGTGGAGAACCAGTGTGGACAAGGCCAATTCAGTCAGGGTGGATGCGGTATGGTGGATGCGGTAACACAGCCACCCTGACTGAATTGGCCTCGTCAACACTGGTTCTCCACTTGTAAGGTAACTCCCTTCTCTGACCTAAGTGTGACCATCCTTATGTAATAAACATTGTTCATGTCTCACTGCTTTTCACACTACTTATGCTCACAGATCACTGGGTGGGGGCAGACACTGGGAGGCTAGGTTAAGGGCTTGTCATGCATGTTTTAGGCTCAGTGTGGTTCTGCCTTGATGCAATTTGGCCTCCTGATTCGGCCTGTCTGAAATTTCTATAACCTCACTCTGAAAAGGAGCAGAGCGAGGCCTCAAACCATCTCAGGGCTGCTCTTGCAAGCGCTACAGGAATGACCAGGGTCACCACAGACCCAGCCATGCTGGAAGGCTTGCTCACGTGGGGCAGGCAAAGGAACCGGGGAAGACTGATATGGGAGGTTTAATTTCTTTGATGCCATTCAAACCCACAGAAATCGTTACCTTTCTAGCTCAGCAGCATTGTGCACGCCTCAGGCCCAGCCCCTCCAACCATAGACTCCGCGGAGATCGTTTCTACAAGCAGGAAAATGAGAAGAGAAAAAAAAAATCAGATTTAGCAGAAGACGATGGAGAATCTACTTAACCGGGCAGGTCGGTCATAGGATGCTTCTGAGATATTTATGCCCTTGTCGTCTCAAAGTGTTTTACAAGCCACACATGCATCACTCACTCCTAAGGCAGGCAGCCACCCTAGAGAGCGACACTATGGAGCACGCAACAGTGGAATCAGGGCCGCCCAGCCTGTTACCAAGAGAGGGTTAGTTCTGTGGCACTATCTGAAGGAGGCACATTAACCTGCACAGAAATCAGCTGATCTGCCTGGAGAGTAGGAAGCGGAACCCCCTCTGCCAGGATTTCATAGAATCATAGAATATCAGGGCTGGAAGGGACCTCAGGAGGTCATCTAGTCCAACCCCCTGCTCAAAACAGGACCACAGGGCTGGAAGGGACCTCAGGAGGTCATCTAGTCCAACCCCCTGCCCAAAGCAGGACCAATCCCCATACAGATTTTTGTCCCAGATCCCTAAATGGCCCCCTCAAGGATTGAACTCACAACCCTGGGTTTAGCAGGCCAATGCTCAAACCACTGAGCTATCCCTCCACCGTGAGGGCTGAAGCCTGATGCTTAGACCAGGATTCCGCCCCCAGGCTGGGAGATGCCTTTGAGTGAGACTATCCCTTAGCCATACAGCAGCAAACGGGGCGTGCGGCCCATACAGCACACCGGCCACGCTGCTCACGGCGACTGGGGCTCCGATCCCAGACACCGGCTGCCCTAGCTCCCTCACCCGGAGCCCCTGGCTGGGCAAGGCCCGTGTTGCACAGCCCGGCGCGTGCCCATCGGGACGGGACGGTCAGACCCCGCGGAGAGGGGCGCGCTGCCACGCCAGGGGTGCCCTCACCGACAGCAGCACACGTGCAGCCGCCTCTCCGAGACTACAGCTCCCGACATGCACCGCTCCCCCAGCTGCGGCGGCGGCAGGGCTCAGCAGGGAACGCTGTCTCCTGGGACTTGTAGTCCCCACATGGCCGAGGGGGTCGGGGGGAGGCACCGAATCTTCTCTCACTTCCACGTGGGGCTGAACCCCGAGCATTGCCGCCGCCGACACCCCCCCCCCACACGCAACACAGCGGGCGGCCCCCGCCTGCACCCGCACAGGGCTCCCAGGGCAGCGCAGGCCCCGGATGGAGGCGGATTAGAAACTCACCAGCGCCGCTGCAGCGACTACTCCCCACCGCCGCCGCCATGTCTTCTGCGCCTGCGTACTAGCCCCCCCAGCGCGTGCCTCGCGTCATCAGCGCGTCCCTCCCCTAACTCCGCCCCCTCCCTTCCTTTGCGGGGCGATGGTGTCACCTAGCGGCGGGGAGGAGGCAGGGCTCGGGCGAGCAGCGGGTTACCTTATTTCCCAAAGGCTGGGGCTAGTGCCTGCCCCCCCCCCCCCCCGGCCACAGTCCTGCCTCTCCCCCCTCAGCTGGCATTGCTGCCCCCCCCCACGTTCCCCCGCCTCCTGCTTTTTTGACAATCCCCCCACCCCATTTGCTGTTGCCAACTGACCAAGTTGGCAAGAGGAAATGGGACAAATGCCCACTTTTGCCAAAAAAGTCGGGACAGGGCCAGGAGCGTAGCTAGTGGGGTGCAGAGGAAGCAGCCGCTTCCCCTCAGCTTCTCGCAGGCGGCCCGGCTCCCCCTGCCTGGGGCTCCCCTTGCCCGCCGCCCCCTCTGCAGCACTGCCCGCCGTGGGGATGGGGCTCTCCCAGGGCTCTGCCCTGCACGCGCCCAGCACCCCCTGGGCTGCTCCTGCCTCCCCAGGCTGGCCACAGATCCCCTCCCCCGGGGGGCTAGGGTCCTGCTGCGGCTTGCGCCCCTCTGCCTCCTCCGCAGGGCAAGCAGCCCCAGGGGGTTGAGGCCGTGCCACCCCTTCCCCACCTTCCCCCTCCAGCAGCCCCCGCACCGCCCTGCCGGGCTTGTTCAGCCCTCGGCCCCACCGGGTCCTGCCCTGCCGGCCCTCATGCAACCTGCCCCTACTGTGCAGGGGCAGGGGCAGCCATGGCCCGGGGGGACTGGGGGAGCCGCAGCAAAGCCCCGCCCGTAGCTGGTGCAGGAGGCGAGCGGGGCTCTCAGCCCAGGCTCCGGCATCAGCCTGCAGCGGGGAGCAGAGCCACCCCCACCAGCTCCGCTCAGCCCAGCCCGCTCTTAAAGGGACACGGACCCCACCATGGCTCAGCCCGGCCTGGGGCACATGGGGGTGTCACCTCACCCCCGGCCTGGGGGGCCTGGCGAGGGGGGTGCTCGGCACCATAGCAGCGCAGAGGGGAGGCCAGCGCAGAGTGGACCCCATGAGGGCGGGGGGGGGGGCGTGGCTCGGCCGGAGGAGCCAGCCGAGGGGGGCGGAGCGGCCAGAGGAGGAGCCAAGGGTGGGGCATCTTTTTATGTTTGCTCCCCCTGCTCTTAAAACCTGGCTATGCCACTGGAAAGGGCTTAAAAAAGGGACTCTCCCTCACTGCCCCCCCAGCTACGCTACTGTGTCCCAGCCCAAACGGGACGTCTGGTCACCCTACACAAAATTGGCCCGCAAGCACCACGCGTGACTACATGTACATGTGCCATCTAATCACCTATCATGCACATTTATTCCACCTACGTGGACACCTATGGTACGGGTGCACACACCGTGCGTGTGTGCCAAACACACACAATGACCCGAAGAAGAGCTCTGAGGAAGCTCAAAAGCTTCTCTCTCTTATCAATGGAAGTTGATCCGATGAAAGATGTTACCTCACCCACCGTAGCTCTCTAATATCTTGGGACCAACATGGCTACCACACTGCATAAAACACACACAATGCGGGTACGAACGCATCAACATACTCTGCAACTTGCACACCTGTCATATGCAAATTCAGACTATGCACGCTCATACATATGCCACGTGGACCTGGCACATTCACACATGCTGCATACAGAGTAGTCGGTAGACTGGCAAACTTGTGACTGCTGCCAGAGCAGTTTATCCCGATTTCACACTGCACTGGGCAAATTACAGTTTTCCTTGTTTACCGTAGGACAAGGCCAGTCAATATAATAAACCACACATGAGCACACACTCCACACGTTACAGAGAGATCAGTTGCCTCTCCCTAGTTATAATCCTAGTTAGGTTAATGGGCAAACACAAACAGTGGTAAAGTTAGGCACCTGATCTGTGCAACTTTTTGCAGGTTCATGGCCAAAGCCTGTAAGGTGGTTTGGGTTAAGAAAGAAGTAGAAGTATGGCTTGAGGCCTAAGTTAGGCTAAGCCTAGAGGGGTATGCAAAATTGGAGTTGCTAGTATAAGAAAAGTTCAAGATAAATTGGAGACAGAGTGTTATGGGAAAGTAAGAGTTAGCAAAGCCATGACCCAGGGTTATGTTACCATTTTGTTTTGGTTATAACTGGGTTAATCAAGGTTTTTAATCAGAATTATGTATGTTTTATTAAAATATCTATATTGCTAGTATGGAAAAGACATCGGTGCAGAGGTTAATTTAAATAATGTGTAATGTAAAGAGCCAAGAAGAAGGTGGCAGAAATATAATGATGGTAAAGGGCAGTTTAATGTTAATTAATATTATAATAGAATATAAAAGGAGTAGTTTTGCTAAACTGCAGGAGAGCTCCAACGAACATGCAAAGGATATTGTTAAGTTCCTGGATTATGTGGCTGTACATCATTCGGTTATCAGTGGACTGATCACCCATTGATATACCATTTCATCTTTTGAGTGTATGATCATAGTACTGTGTAAGTAGTAATTGCATGCTTGCTTGCTTAATTATTTTTCTTTTTAATAAACTTTGGTTGTATCATTCAAAGTGTCACCTAGTGGTCCTCTATTAAATAAATGTTCTGTAACCAAACTAAAAGCTCAAACCTGAAAACTGTTAGGTTTTATTACACTCTTATCTTTATCAACTTAATCTAACATTTCAATATACAGGTTACAAGAGGTCTACAAACCACCTAAAATAGCAAACAGCTACAAAGCTGTTTTTTGCTCCTTATACAATATTGCTAAACTTTTGTGAACAAAAATCATGACATTGGTTTACAAATCATGAGATATCTCCTCAATATATGTTCCATTCTATATGCATCCGAAGAAGTGGGCTGTAGTCCACGAAAGCTTATGCTCTAATACATTTGTTAGTCTCTAAGGTGCCACAAGTACTCCTGTTCTTTTTGCGGATACAGACTAACACGGCTGCTACTCTGAAACTTAAAAATCATGGTTTTTTTAATGAGGTGTCTGTTTTTTTGAGCTTTCAGGGTTTATAGTGGCAAGCTTTTATCTGCTAAACTTTTAAAAACAAAATCTGAAATTCTCCGATAATCACATGCCACCGAATATCATAAGATGTGTGATCAAAGTGTGTGAATTGGCAACAGTTCCTATGTGGCTTTGGCTTGGACAGTTGCTGGGCCATGTAACCCATCCCATTTACTGAAGGCAAAGGGCAGTACTCTTGCAAACTAATTATCCGGGATCACAGGGTGGCTGGCCCTGTAAGGGAGCTGGGCCCAGCCTCACCTGTGAGGGACAAACGGCCTCTCAGCTGAGACAGAGATCGGTGAGAGAGCAGGTGATTCTAAAAGCCAGCAAGTGGCTAAGCTGGAGAAAGAGCCGCAAGGACGGGGAAGGCGCCTGTAGGAGACCTTGGGGCTTGTGTGGGGGTATGACAGCTGGAGCAGGGCGACTCAGGCCAGCAGCCAGTACAGTAGCTGCCTGTAGGGAACAGAGATCCTTGGGGCAGGGATGGAAGGGGGTAATCAATGTGCTAGTTTTCTGTGGCAGGTATAAAGCTGATGTGCTGAGCCAAGGGCCTGGCTCAGACTCGGGGCGTGGCGTTGCTCTGGGCTAGGCCGGTGACCCACAGCCTGCTCTCTGGTTACAGGCCTCTGCACCAGCCTGTGGCGCTAAGGCTGCTCCTCTCGCCCCTGCGGCTTTTCCCAGCTCCCTGGATTCTGCCTGGCCAGGCTGGGGGGCTGCACTTGGGGGGTCCATGGTTGGCACTGGGGCCACAGCCAGGGGGTGTCTGGATGGGAGTCAGGGGAGAAGGGCCCAGCCCCCAGGTGGGTGGCGGGGGCAGCAAGGAGGGGTGAAGGGCTATGCTGGGCATGGAGGGGGCAGGGCAGGGGCCCACGTGTGGGAGTGGGTGGGGTGTCAGCCACAAGAGCGTCCACTGCAGGGGGTGGGGCAGTGAGGAAATCGCGCATGCGCAACTCTATTGACTCCCTCCACCCTCCTCCCGCTCGACGCTCCGCACATGCGCTGTCCCCCTTCCTTGTCCTTTCTCGGAGGACTGACGTCAGCCCTCCGGGCGCGGGGGGAGGGGAGCGCCGGCCCCGCGCTGAGCACGCCGGGAAGCCGACGCCCAAGATGGCGGCAGGATTGAAAAGTTGTTGCCGCTGGGGCTGCTGAGTCCGCGGCGGGGGCCGGCGGGAGGGAGCGCGGCTGGCGGCGCGGCCATGGCAGCCCGCTGAGGGGGCGCTCGGCCGGCCGCCGACGGGGCGCGGCTGCGGGGATGCCCCCGGGGAGCCGGGGCCGCAGGAGGCAGCAGGAGCCCGGGGCAGCCGCCGCCCCTCACCCCCCGCCTGAGACATGGAGGAGGAGGGCAAGAAGGGCAAGAAGGTGAGAGCGGGGCCGGGCCGCTCTAACCCCCCATCCCGGGCCGGGTCCCCCTGCCCCTGGGGGCTGTGCCCGGTGCCCCGTCCCCGGGCTGCTGGACTCGCCCTGGCACCGCTTCAGCCTGGACCCTGCTGCCCCTCCCCCTAAGCCGTGAGCTCCCCCACAACCCCCGGGGGCTCTGACGCGGCCAGCCTCTGCCCCGTGGCTGCTGTGTTCCCTCCCCCCCCCGCTCTGATGCGGCCACCCTTCCCCACGCCGGGGCTGCTGAACCCTGGCGCTTCCCTCCTGTGTTTCAGGTCTGCTAACCCCCCCCCGCCCCGCCACTCCCCCGAGGCTGCTGTCTCCCCTCCTGTCAGCGTGAGGTGCCCCTTCTCTGCCCCTCACTCCCCCCTAGCACAGCGTTGCTAAACCGTTCCCCTCCCCATCACTGCCCCTCTGGCAGCAGGGACTAGGGCCTCCTCTGGAGGGCGCACTTCCTTTGTATCTCCTTTTCTATCCTCCCTCCCCCCATGAGGCTTAGTGTCTCCAGGCAGACCCTCCTCTGCTCTCCAACAGCATGAAGCCTATTTCTCGCTGCCCTCATATGCCCCAGGCTGCTCTCAAGCCTGATCTGGCCCTGACCAGTCTTGCTGCACTCCAGCTGGGGCACCGTGAATGACCCACTGGTGGGGATGAGTGACCGAAAGCCGCCCAAATCTGTTCTTGCAAAATGGAAAGAGCTAAAAATCTTCCTTGAAATGAACCTTGCTTGTGGGAGTCTGTCTCCCAGGTGAATGGGACTTGGACAGATCTAACATAACAAAGCAACAAGGATGCATAGCAAAATCTCAGCTACAAGAGCTGTCGCACGCCTGTGATGGAATAGGAGAATGCATGGGACCCTTACCTGTTTAGATTACAATACCTTATATGTGGCTGAAATGCTGTGTGACTGTTACACATTTCTAATGGTGTGTGGGTTTTTTCTCTCCCCTGTGAAGCGCCTCATGCTCTTGAGAGTGGCACTTCCCAAGAGTATGGTGCTAGCTAACACTTGCAACTAATAACTTTCCTAATTGGGGTTAATGAAAGAGCTGGGAACTGTACCAGTATTCCTGCAAGGCTGTATGTTTGAGTTAATGTGGTAGAGGTAGATTGACCTATTTATTGTAAATATCTGATTCAAAACTTTCATGAAAACCATGACTGCTTATAGAGGTGTTTGCTTTGTCTATGTAGTAGTTTTAGAAGGGTCTTTAGAATACAGCATTAGATTTGTACTATGGCTTCCATTTTTCAGTGTTTCTAAATAAACTCGACTCAGACTTGCAGTTCAGTTTCAGAAGACATGTTTTCTTTCTTTGTGTGGCTATAGTGCTCGTGAAAGGTGCCAACTTGACAGCCCTGGAGACTGCAGTCCTCTAGACCAAGTACGGCAGCAGTACAAGTCTCTCCACACTGCTTCACCAATGTCACCAAACACCTAGAGACCACTTCTAAGGGTCAGAGGATAGCTTAGTCTTTGTGGCCTACTCAGTCTTCTGCCTCTTTGCTGAAACTGCCAACAAGACAGCCAATTAATGCCAAGATGTCTTAAAACTGTATAATCCTACAAGAGCACTGTATTTCATCTGTGTTGTAACCTGTTACTGTAACTCATTAAATGAGGAATACATAGTACAAGATTAATGATTCAACTCCCCATGCCTTTTAAAAAACAAACGGGGGGGGGGGGAATTAAGGGTGCAACTCCCACAAAGGTAGGTTGGCTGTTTAAGTGGTGAACTTAAGCAAACCTAACTTAGCACTGACCTGGGATGGAAAGTCTTGGCTTTTAATGCTGTCAAATTAGCCCAGTGTTTTGGGGTGGGAGGGTGAAAGAGCTCAAACCAAACTTCACTTGTATTTAGCTATGACACTCTTAGTACCTTTCCTAGAGCTGAAGAGCTCTGTGTAAGCTGGAACACTTGTCTCTCACCAACAGAAGTTGATCCAATAAAAGGTATTGCCTCACCAATCTTGTCTCTTTAATACCAGCATACATGCTGTTCAGAGTAATAGTGAAGACCCTGTTGACCATGGCATCTAACTGACCAGGAAAAGGGAAAGAATTACCCCTCAGGCTTGTGATGTCATAACTGTGGGAAAACAAGTTATTTTTAGTCCAGTATTTTGATTGTAGATACCGGCAGTAACCATTATTTCAGAAGGTGGCAGCAGAGTTTCCCAATGAAATAAGCAGATGCTATTCATTGGTGACCAGGGTGTTAACATGTTTAGAAACTGTAACTTTTCCTGCTAGTCTGGAATTCTTTAGTCATTCAAAACTCAAATCAAGTAATATTTCACTTTGTTCTGCACTGATAGGGCTTTTCATTCTGACCTAAAAGTATTTTACAAACAAACCTCATGACATCCCTGTAAAATAGGGATACCTTTCAGATGGGGAACCTGAGAAATAGGTTAAGTGACTTGCCCAAGGTCCTACAGAAAGTGAGTGGCAGAGCTGGGAACAAAATCCAAGCCCTGTCACTAGATCGCTTTCCCTTCATAGTATTCTATATGTAACATTAATACTCAGAGGCTGAATATAAATTGTTTTGAGCTTGTTCCCAAAAAAAGCCGTTTAAAGCACAGTTGTTTTGGGTACTTAAACAAGTGTGAGAACACCTCAATCTCGTCACTTCTGCATTTGTTAAAACTTTTCTGGTGAAGGGGAAGATTGAGGAAAACCTTTGCAGAAAGAATCCAGGAAATGATCAGTGCTAGCACAAGACTCTTAATGTTACACATGACATGCTATCCTTCTAAATGGGGGTACTTGTCGTGTTGTCAGGAAATGCTCTTGAGCTGTATTCAGTATTTAACCCCCCAGCTAAGGTTATGATCTCTAAACAAATAGTGTCCATTAACAAAACTACTGTTCCAGGCTGTAGGGTGTTGCCCTATGACCATATTGTACCCTTTTGAAGCTACATTCTGTGTGCATTCCATTGCCTTTTATCAGATTTACTAATGCAAGGTAGCCACTCAAGCCTAGATACAGCAACGAGGAACTGAGTAGGATCTTAAGGACAGGAGAGGATGCAATATAAAATCTCATTACAACATATGAAGCAGCTTTAAAATGCCATAGACTAGGGCCCATGTAAAGTTGAAATGGTACTAGATGCATATTTGGTTGCTAGGAGGGCTTCCTTGACCAGTATAGACAGGTATCTTATGACCTACTACACATTTAGTTCCTGCTGCCCCAGTTGTGGGGCTTGGTTGCTTTTAGGTGAGCTGCTCACCACCCTTGAAATCAGGGCTGGTCTACGCATGGACTTATTCCTGATGAATGCAATGTATGGACACTTATTCCAGAAAAAAGTTTCTTCTTTCTGTTCTCTTAACCTGAAGTGAAGCTGAGCAGAAACAAAGCACTCTTGTTCTGGAATAAGTGTTTCAACACATGGAGTTCATCAGAAATATGTCCATCCGTAGACCAGTCCTTAGTCTCTGGCCAGCAGGTGTCAAACACAACACCATTTATATAATATATATGGGCTTGGTTTTTCAGAGTCCAAGATCAGAAGGGACCAGTGTGATTGTCTAGTCTGACCTCCTGTATAACATGGGCCATAGAACTTTCCCCAAATAATTCCTATAATTTGAGCCATGACTATTCTAAAGTCCAGAACCTAGATACAGCCACAATAGTACTGCAGCAGGGCCAAGTTCTTGCCACAAATCATAAGGTTGCGATTTCATTTTGAGTAATGCTTGAAGCAGTCTCAGTGGTTAGAGCATGGGCATTAGGCCTTTCCTGTCACTATGGAATTAAACAATGACTTCTGGAGTGTATTCATATCTGTCACTGGTTTCCCGTGACTTGGGACAAGTCACAGCTTCTGAGGCTGTTTATTTGGCTGGTGAAATGGGCATGTTACTCCATTGTGGATTTTACAGTACACATCAGCTCTGAGCTAATGAAATCACTGATGGAGAGACTTCATCTGTTAGATGCAGCATTGTCCTTCCTGTGTTTATTGTATGATGTGTATTAGAGAGGCGCAGGTTGGATTTTAAATGGTTTAAACCCAGAAATTCAGATTGTCACAGAATGTGTTGGAGCAAGGGTCATAACAATTTCTTGTTGGGGAGAATCCCATCTGAGTGAAAACAGGCTGTCTTGTTTCAACTGTGTGCTCACGTCAATCGTATTCATGAAACAAATGGCATGCTGTCCAAAATGGAAAGTTTGAAATGCTTTAGAAACGCTAACAGTTCCCAGTTTGACTGGCTAGGCCTCCGGCGTTTGTTGTTTCCTACTCTTTCAACTTATTTGCTTTTTTTCAACGCTTAATTTAATTCTGAATATCACCCATACCCATTCAAACATGATGGAGGTTTTGAGTAGGTTGCATAAAGGCTTGAGTCTTGTAAAAAGCTGACACTTGAATGCACCTGTCTTGTCTTCAGTGACTGTTCACAATCTTCCACCATTTGGATTGCAATGATATGTGACAACCTCCTTGGCAAACAGATTTGGGTAGATATCTGGATCTCCAGTTAAATGCTAGGAGAAGGGATGACATCAGGCTTGGATTCCAGCAGCTATGTTTCAATGGCCTCTTCCTATTTTGGGCTCAACAGATTAGCTTTGTGTTTAGGAGCAAATGGAAGAAAGGTTCCGTTGCTTCTCTCCTGTCCTTGTGGTGGTCCAGTTCTTACTAGGTCGATCTAGATTTCACCAATACCGCAGCAAGTGTTGCCAGCCTGTACTCCATCAAGTCTGTTTGAAGCCTTCAGTTGCTTTTGTGAACTTTTCTCTGCAGAGCCCCTCATGCAGAGTGTCTGTTGTATTTTGATCAGTCCTCAGTGCAAATATTGACACTTATGGTAGCTGGGAGGATGGAAATGTAGATACTCCGAGTCTTCTATAGTCATTGGGAAATTCAGGCTGCTGTGGGACTGAAAAGGACTGATGCCTGAACTTCCACGACATGCATTAGAACTGTTCAGTGGTATTATTTAACCCT